AAGGTCATCATCTTGATCATTATGCCAAATGGATAAGGACATTACAAGAAGATAAAACCAAAGTCAATATCCAGATTGAGTATTGATGCAAAAATTCTCAACAAAATGTCAACAAGCCAAATTCAAGAACACATTAAAAGAATTATATACTAAGACCAAGTGAGATTTATCTCTGAGTTGCAAGGATAAATAGAATGAACTGTAAAATAGCTTGATTATCTCAATAGATGTCCAAAAATCATTTGACAGGTATGACATTCTTTCATGACGAAACCCTCAACATATAGGGTATAGAAGGAAAATACCTCAGTGTAATAAAGAACATATATGGCAAACCCAAAGCTAATGTTATACTCAACAGTGAATACTTGAAAGCTTTTTCTCTAATCAGAAACAAAATAAGGATGCCTACTCCCCCACTGATTCAATATAGAAGTAGAAGTTCTTGCTAGAACAACTAGGTGAGACAAAGAAATAAAAGACATCCTAAACAGAAAGGAAGAAGTAAGATTTTTATTTTTTACAGAGTACATGATTTTTTTTTTGGTACAGAAAATCTCACAGATTCAACAACAACAACAACAACAACCAAAAACCTGAACTAATTAACAAATTCAGTAAATTTGTAAGATATAAAATCACTATATAGAATTCAACTTCGTTACTGTGTACTATTAATGAAACATCTGAAAAAAAAACTATCCAATTTACAATAGCATGAAAAGCAAGAAAATAACTAGAAATAAATTTTATCAGTGAAGTGAAAGATCAGTACAGTGATAACTATAAGAAATTGCAAGAAATAGAAGAAAACACAAATAAATGGAAAGTCATCTTGTGACATGGACCAGAAGACTAATACTGTTAAAATGTTGACATTAGCAAAAGCCAAAAGAATCACACCTTGAAATTTCATATTTACCACAAAGTTTCAATATTTCAAATAACAGTGTACTTGCCCCAAAATAGACACATAGACCATGGAACAGCATACAGGATTCAACTAAATTCAACAAGGGAGCAAGGGAGACAAGAATAACCATTGTGGAAATATTAGTCACTTCTTTCTTTTCTGAGAAAACTGGATAAACATATGAAAAAAAAAAAACAAAAACAAAATGAGACCTCCAACTTATACCATCATCAAAACAACTCAAAATGAATCAATGACTTAAACATAAGACCAGATACCATAACATCCCTAAAAGAAAATATAAGGATGAAACTCCATGGCACTGATCTTGAAAATGATGTTATCTATATGACATCAAGACCACAACAAAAGAAAAAAAATCACAAGTGGGACTACAGCAAGCTTAAAAGCTTCTTCACAGCCAAAGAAATAATCTAAAAGATGAAAATGTGCTCTACAGAATGGAAGAAAAATTTTGTAACCACATACTGAATGAGGGGTTAAGATCCAGAATATAGACACAACTCATACAACAAAATTCAATGAAAGAATGGGCAGATGAACAAAATAGACACTGTAGAAAGAAGATTTCCAAATGATCACCAGGTATAGGAGAAGATACTCAACATCAGTAATCATCAGGGAAATATATTTCAAAATCACCATCAGATATTATCAGATATTACCTCACCCCTATTAGAAAGTCTATAACCAAGAAGAAAAAATTGTTGTGAGAATGTGGAGAAAAGTGAATGCTTGTACACTCTCAGTGGGAATGTAAATTGGTTTAGCCCTTATGGAACATAAATTGAAGGATCTTAAAACAGTTAAAGATACATCTATTGTATGATCCAGCAATTCTACTTCCAGGTATATAGTCAAAGGAAGTAATAACAGGATAGTGAAGAGGTATATGTGCTTCCATGTTGACTGCAGCATTATTCACAATTAGCTAGGGAAAAAACTTTAATGCCCACCTATGGATGAATTATTTAAAGATGTTTCATAGATACACACAGACATAAACACACACACAGACACAAATGCTCAGAATGGAATGTTATTCACCCATGACAAAGAAGGAAATCCTGCCATTTTCGACAACATGGGTGGACCTTGAAGACATTATGCTAAAATTTGTGCTTTCATTTTAAACTTTACTCCATTCCTATAATCAAATATACACTATGATATATATCCTGAAAATTGTAATTCCAGCTTTTGCTTTTTTAACCTTCAAGCAAACTGTGATAATATTATATTTGGTATTTTCCAAGTAAATATTTTATTATATCTGATTTAGTATAATTTAGCATTGTTTGGCCTCTCCTAGTGGCTCAGATGGTAAAGAATCTGCCTGGAGTTCTGGAAACCAGGATTTGATCCCTTGGTCGGGAAGATCTCCTGGAAAAGGGAATGGCTACCCACTCCAGTATTCTTCCCTGGAGAATCCCGTGGACAGAGGAGCCTGGAGGACTACAGTCCATAGTGTCACAAAAAGTCAGACATGACTGAAGTGACTTAGCAGCAGCAGCATTTAATGTAAACTTTTTTAATGGTAGGAATTTTTAAGGTTTTGGTGGTCAGATGAAGAAGATGAAATACTAAAGTATTTTTGTAAGTTTTAAGGCTTTTCACCAGTGCACTAGCTAAAATAAATGCCTTTTTCCAACAATATAAATGAATGTATATATAAATATATGTTTTTATTCCCAACCCAGAGATATATTTAAATTTATTTAAAGTAAATCATCCTGATTCATGTCAATATATGGAAAAACCCACCACAGTAATGTAAAGTAATTATCCTCCAATTAAAATAAATTAATTAATTTAAAATAAAGAAAAAAATGTGTTAATGTGATATCTCTGGGAACACCGTACTCTAGTTTTCACTCATTGTATGTATCTAGGAACAATCTGTTAAATGGTCTCTTCCTACTGTTAACCATTTACAATCCAACTCAGTGACAACATCTTGCTTTTTAATTTTACTTAATATATGATTATGTCTTTCTCAGGACATTCATCATAGCTCAGTCAGTAAAGAATCTGCCTGCAATGCAGGAGACCCGGGCTCGATTCTTGGGTTGGGAAGATCCTCTGGAGAAGGAAATGGCAACCTGCTCCAGTATTCACACTTGGAGAATCCCATGGAGAGAGGAACCCCAGCCTACAGTCTATGGGATTGCAAGTGTCGGACACGACTTAGAGACTAAACCACCACCACCATCTCTTTCTTTCTTAATCCTTTCAGTATTCTTCCCAATGCCCCTACTAGATGTCTCAATTCTTTATGATTATCTGTTTCCAACTTACCTCATCAGCATCATCTTCTTTATTCAGCCCTTTCTTCTCTAGACTAAACTTGGACTTTTTGGCAACTGTCATTACTACTCCACCTACCTTTCTTTTATATCTTCTTCCAACTGAGCTATGAGGGAAGCCCATATCATCTTTCAAATCTGCCCTATTCCTTCTGTTTATTCCTGAGCATCCTTTAGATCTCATAATTTTCTATGAATCAGAGATACCTTCTATGATTCATGCTGAATATTTCTTTAACACTCTGGTCTTTCCATATTGTAACATTTTTTACAATTTGATTGTGTTCTGTCATTCCAGGTGGACTGTCAGGTGGTAGAAACTCTGCCTACACCATTTATTTATGTTCATACTCACTTCTGGAATATGATATATACAAAATTATCCTATAATAATTATAATACAACTATAATGAATCATATTATAGTGAGATGAGATGGTTGGATGGCATCACCAGATGATAATATAACTATTATTTTATTTATATAAAATGCATATTTTTATGTAAAAGTATAATATAACTATAAGTGTTCTTTAATGAATGATGCTTCTCTATGTGTTGAATAATGAAGTTGCATTTAATTGATGTCTTGTTAAAGTGTCCAATGTACTCTTGTTTATTCTGTAATGATAATGAAATTCAGATAGTTGTGTTGATATAAAAATACATTACTTTCTAAGTGGAAGGTCACTTTATCCAGGTTCCCACATGTGACTACCTGTAAGCAAACATTCCAAAGACAGAATACAGAATGATTCCTATTGAAAACACAACATTCACAAAGAACACCAAGGAGCAGTAGGTGACCTTAGGCAGGGGCTTGGCAGGCTTGCAGTGGAGGCCTCCAACAAATTCAACATTTGGGAGTCGTGGACGAGGAAATGAAAAGTCCCAGTAGGTTCGAATGAGCCACATTTCAGCTTTCCCCATTGTCTCTGATAAGGTAGTAGGTCTTCCTGAAAGTAAAAAGAAAACCAACAAATGTTTGATCAAATGAGACTATTGTCATGTGCGTATATCAGATAATTTTTGTAAAACAACTTGAGATGTTGTGGCCAAAGATGTTTTAATGTGTCTGTTGTTTGATAAATATATAACATAGCATAGTCTAGGATAATAAAATATATCTGGAAAACATCTGTTTCTACACAAGTAGAAACAGTTTCTAAAAGCTACCTGGATATTTGTACTCCAAATAGGTGTATAACTCTCAATGTACATGTCTTCATTTATCAAGAAAGTTTATGAGATTCTTAATGACTTTAAGTTAAAAAAAGAAGTTTTGTAAGTTGGATGGTCACTTGCAGAAGTCGTAGATACTTCAATTTGTGGTAAATGACTTCCTGGTATCCAATACTAGTAATGGGCTTTACCCTACCCTATAAGTGTTTTCATAATATTTGTTAGATTGAGGGTCATTTTATATTTTCATTTCACTTTTTCACTTATTTGAGATAAATTTTTTTGAATTTATATTTATACAAACTCAACTTCCATGGCACTAGGAAAAATAGGACTAATGATACCAAGTAAAACATGACTTACCTAGTTGTTTGGTTGCTAAGTTACCACTGACTCTTTTCAACACCATGGGATATAGCCCAACAGGCTTCTCTGTCCATGGGATTTCCCAGGCAAAAACACTGGAATGGGATGCCATTTCCTTTTCCAAGGGATCTTCCTGACCAAAGGATCGAACCTGTGTCTCCTGAATTGGCAGGTAGATTCTTTACCACTGAGCTATCAGGAAGCCCAACTTACCTAGTGCTTCACTGTAAAACTGATTCCACTCCTTCTCATTGTATATCTGGAAGATAAAGTCAAAATAAAGTGTATATAACATATTTTTGATCCTCTCCATGAATGTCATGCGATCACTTAATTCTGAAAGCATAACAGGTACATAAGATGGTGGGAATGGAAGTCTTCTGCTATTCTTTTCAATTATATGGCCAGGTGAGGTGGAATGACTGTACATGAATGGTATTTTAAGTAATTCAGCAAGCAGTTCACCACAGGGTCCAACGGCATCTGCAATAAGGATATCAAACCTTGATTCCTGTAGTTTTGTCATAAGTTTCTTGTTGTAAACAGGGTTTTTACACATAGTTATAGAAGTATCAAAAAATTCCCAAAATGAACTTTTCACTGCTGAAAGATAGGTCCAAAAGGAACCTTTCGCTGCATACATCAATTTCTCAAGAAGAAACTCTATAAAATTCTCATAATCATTTTTTGTTAAAGATACAGGAAAAGTCTCAAATTTCATGGTTGATGGTTTGCTGGAATTAGTCATAGTGGAAGCTGAAGATATCAGAACAGTCACTTCATGACCCCTCGTGACAAGTTCATCCAGAATTGTCTTTATATTCAGCCAGTGACTAAATTCTACTGGACACACCAGCACCTTTCCACAACTCCCAGCGCTAAAGTAGCAAGTCAACTGTAGCAGCAGCAGAAGTGAGAGCCTTTTCATAGACATCTTGCTCATATGTAGTACTTTTTAAATAATTACTGTAAACTTTTGCTATTACTCAGGCTTATATCCAGAAGAAATCAACCAGAAGTTAAATTATAACTTCTATTACTTAAAAAAAGTAGATTACATGAATAGTTAGCAGATATGGAAATCCAATGAGAAGGCAAAGTGCAGAACACTTCGAGATGATACAGTGTGTTTAGTATTGATTTATCAGTGCTGTCACCCATCTTGTACACACGCATCAATTATATTTTGTGAGAAAGAAGACTAGTGTAAAACAATAGCAAGTGAGAGACTCTTGTGTCTGCAGTCGCTATGACACAGAATTAGAGATACGGTGACATCAACAAGATGGAGGGTTATGAGGTCACAATTGTGTCCATCAGAGAAACAGCAAAAACAATAAATGACTAAGTGCAAACCAATGTAAATTATTTTGGGAAAGTTCTGGACTAAAATGAAAAAGTAGCAGAAATCCTGCCGTCTGCAAAGACTGAGGATGTGTGTTCAGATTTTTGAGTGTAATGCATCAATACTAAAATATCAAGGAAATTTGACTGGTCAATTGTGTAATTTATGATCATTGTTGCTATATTGATTTTTTTGTCTGAACGATCTGCCTACTGATGACAGTGAGGAGTTAAAGCAGAAGGCAACAACAGAGGATGAGATGGTTGGGTAGCATCACTGACTCAATGGACATGAGCTTGAGCAAACTCTGGGAGATGGTGAAGGACAGAGAAGCCTGGTGTGCTGTGGTCCATCAGGCGATGTTATCAGGTTGATCAGCAAACACATGGATATCCACCATAGGGACCTCATGGTAGATGTCCTTGTAAGTGCGGTTGGTTTCACCGTGAGTTATAAAGCCTTTGGTTTTTGGATGACATAGCATTGAGTGACTCTCAATAAAATTGTTAATTATAATTCAGAGTAAAGTGAGAAATGGGCATTATAAGGCACTGTAAAAAGCAGTGTGCTTTTAAAATAACAGATGGTTACACACAGGAATCTGCAATTAAATTGCTTTCAGAATTCACAGCCAGAAACTCCTGTCTAAGGAGAAATAAGTGAAGACTTCATGAAAGAAGTGCTTTGTCACTTGAATTTCACAAGTGAATTCAAGATTGGCAGATGAACAACTTAAAGAACACTCTGGGTAAAAGAAACCACATATGCATAAAAAGGGGACATTCAGAAATATACTCTATAAAGATTGAAGAAGTCATTTAACCTGATGAGAATGGTGTAAAGGTCACAGAAAGAGTAAAGGTAATGGCAGTGGAACCAAAGAAAGGAGGATCTTCATTTTATTAAGAAATATGCTACCACTTCATGAAAATGATTGTGGATTTTTTTCTGTAGAAAATGGAGAGTCACTGGTAATAAAGAAGGAGCTGTTATTTATCAGTAGTATTTAAAATACTCCTACACAGAAGAAGCAATAGGAGTAAGGAAAGAATTCAGAGTTAGAACAATAACCCATTAAGCTATTCACTGTTAGAAGTAATTACAGGCAAAATGAAGATATTTTAATTCTGGGCATAAGGGACATGACCAGGTATAATACAGTGCCAACTATCATATGTTTTCCTTCTCCCCTCCAGTGCTGGGAGTAAAAACACAGGAGTAAAGTTTTCTTTCTGAATGTTTTAATAATAAACACTTGATAAGTTTGTTTCCTATTGAAGTACTATCACTCTGCTCAGCTGATAATCAGGTTTTTAGCATTTGTTCTGTGAATATTTACTAAGAAATTCATTCTGGGTTATACAGATGAGTGTTGGGTCCTAAGGTGTCTGCTTTTTTGCCATCATATCTCCATAGAAGCTGTTAGGGTAAGAAAAATACCTTATTCTTGAGTTTAAAGATATAGCATTAGAATTCAAAAGATTAATAGATAACTAGTTAAATATCTTCTATATGGCATGTAAGGAAGAAAGTATTGTGATCTTAAGCAAGGATAACTACTAATGCACTGACATCAGTAGGAATATTTACATTTTACATACTTATTACTATATTCAATCAGCTATGGAATATAATCAGGACCATGCACACATGATGGAATAGACAAATGATGTTTAATTGCCAAATTCAGATATTTTTAAAAGTTGCTAGATGGTCTTTATTCTAAAGAAAAAACAGAGTGGGAAATTTCTAATAACTGACATACGTTATCTCTCCATTTTACTTTTTCTAATTTTCTTAACTTTTATACCCCTTCAATCCTCAACTCTCAGAGGTTTAAACATACCATTGAGAAAAATTCACAATTTACAAGTTTTACAGAGCTTTAGTTTATTATATATTTTACAATTTCATTTTTTATTCTAGTCCTAATTTTCAAAATTGTTATTTACTCACTTATGTTATAGAAGAGAGTTATATATCCACTCATTAATATATATTTTGATATAAATCTTTTACATCTTTTGATACACAAGGCAAACACAAGTGTCATCAGCCACTGTTTCCAAATTGGGAAAGGAGTATATCAAGGCTGTATATTGTCACCCTGCTTATTTGACATATATTCAGAGTGATTGCCGGGAGAAATATCAATTACCTCATACATGCAGATGAAAACTACCTTATGACAGAAAGTGAAGAAGAATTAAAGAGCCTCCTGATGAAAGTGAAAGAGCCAAGTGAAAAACTTGGCTTAAAACTCAACACTCAGAAAACGAAGATCATGGCATCTGGTCCCATCACTTCATGACAAATAGATGGGGAAACTGGGGAAACAGGGAGAGACATTACTTTTTTGGGCTCCAAAATCACTACAGATGGTGACTACAGCCATGAAATAAAAGATATTTGCTACTTAAAAGAAAAAGTATGACCAACCTAGACAGCACATTAAAAAGCAGAGACACGGTATATACCACGTTAATTGATTGGAAGAATCAATATTGTGAAAATGAGTATATGATCCAAAGCAATCTATAGATTCAATGCAATCCCTATCAAGCTACCAACGGTATTTTTCACAGAACTAGAACAAATAATTTCACAATTTGTATGGAAATACAAAAAGCCTCAAATAGCCAAAGCAATCTTAAGAAAGAAGAATGGAATGGAGGAATTAACCTGCCTGACTTTAGGCTCTACTACAAAGCCACAGTCATCAAGACAGTATGGTACTGGCACAAAGACAGAAATATAAGTCAATGGAACGAAACAGAAAGCCCAGAGATAAATCCACGTATGTCTGGACACCTTATCTTCTGAAAAGTAGGCAAGAATATACAAAGAAGAAAAGACAACCTCTTTAACAAGTAGTGCTGGGAAAACTGGTCAACCACTTGTAAAAGAATGAAACTAGACCACTTTTTAACACCATACACAAAAATAAACTCAAAATGGATTAAAAATCTAAATGTAAGACCAGAAAATATAAAACTCCTAGAGGAGAACTTAGGCAAAACACTCTCTGACATAAATCACTGCAGGATCCTCTATGACCCACCTCCCAAAATATTGGAAATAAAAGCAAAAATAAACAAATGGGATCTAATGAAACTTAAAAGCTTTTGCACAACAAAGGAAACTATGAGCAAGGTGAAAAGACAGCCTTCAGAATGGGAGAAAATAATAGCAAATGAAGCAACAGACAAAGAATTAATCTCAAAAATATACAAGCAACTCCTATAGCTCAATTCCAGAAAACATTAATGACCCATTCAAAAAATGGGCCAAAGAACTAAACAGACGTTTCTCCAAAGAAGACATAAAGATGGCTATCAAACACATGAAAAGATACTCAAATCACTCATTATTAGAGAAATGCAAACCAAAACCACAATGAGGTACCATCTCACTCCAGTCAGAATGGCTGCTATCCAAAAGTCTGCAAGCAATAAATGCTGGAGAGGATGTGGAGAACAGGGAAACTTCTTACAGTGTTGGTATGAATGCAAACTAGTACAGCCAGTATGGAGAACAGTGTGGAGATTCCTTAAAAAACTGGAAATAGAACTGCCATATGACCCAGCAATCCCACTCCTGGGCTGTATGCCAGTGTGTATCACTGAAGAAACCAGAACTGAAAGAGACACGTGTGCCCCAATGTTCATGGCAGCGCTGTTTATAATAGCCAGGACATGGAAGCAACCTAGATGCCCATCAGTGGACGACTGGATAAGAAATCTGTGGTACATACACAAAATGGAATATTCCTCAGGTATTAAAAAGGATATATTTGAATCAGTTCTAATGAGGTGGATGAAACTGGAGCCCATTCTACAGAGTGAAGTAAGTCAGAAAGATAAACACCAATACAGTATACTAACATTTATATATGAAATTTAGAATGATGGTAACAATAACCCTATATTCAAAACAGAGAAAGAGACACAGATGTATAGAACAGACTTTTGGACTCTGTGGGAGAAGGGAAGGGTGGGATGATCTGAGAGAATAGCATTGAAACATGTTAATAGCAACTGTGAAACCGATCACCAATCCAGGTTTGATGCACGAGACAAGTGCTCAGGGCTGGTGCACTAGGATGACTCAGAGGGATGGGATGGGGAAGGAGGTGGGAGGGGGGCTCAGGATGGGGAACACATGTAAACCCATGGCTGATTCATATCAATGTAAAGCAAAAACCTCTAGAATATTGTAAAGTAATTAGCTTCCAACTAATATAAATTTAAAAAATCAAATAAAAAGCATAGACATTACTTTGCTGACAAAGGTCCATCTAGTCAAGGCTATGGTTTTTCCAGTAGTCATGTGTAGATGTGAGAGTTGAACTATAAAGAAAGCTGAATACCAAAGAATTGATGCTTTTGAATTGTGGTGTTGAAGACTCTTGGGAGTCCCTTGGACTGCAAGGAGATCAAACCAGTCAATCCTAAAGGAAATCAGTCCTGACTATTCATTGGAAGGACTGATGTTGAAGCTGAAACTCCAATATTTTGGCCACCTGATGTGAAGAAGTGACTCATTGGAAAAGGCCATGATGCTAGAAGTGATTGAAGGCATGAGGAGAA